AGAAAGAGCCCCGGGCCGGGAAGAAAGAGCAGAAAGGAAACCGGTGGGGAGGGGATTGCAGCCATCGACCGAAGGATGCAGTGTCGGAGAGGATGCTCGCCAGAGGCCGGGAATCGCTACCGCGCTGAGTGGGAGGAGGAGAGAGGCAGGTGGACTTAACGCGGCGGATGTGCCTTACCGGAAATGCCGTGATGAAAATTTTAAATGATCGCTACTACGTCAGGCCACTTTATTAATGAAAATATTGCCTCTGTTCTGCCTGCTCTCTGCACAAAGGTTTAGAATCACGCTTCTGACCTCACGTGCGATCCAGATCATGGGTGTTTCCCGCCTGGGCCCAGAAAGAGTTCTTTCTGCAAGTCCCGCGCATCGGCACACCGGCATGAAGGTGTCTTAAAATCTCCGCGTAACCTCAGTGTCTAAATGCCCATTGGCCCCACGCGACACCTCTGCATCTAGAAGCTTCTGGCCTCATTTCAGGCCCCCTCCTCCCCTCAGTGGGTTGCAGCTGTCCAGGTGTCCTTACAGTTCCTCGGGGACACCAAGTGGCCTCCATTCATTGGCTTTGGCACACGCTATTCCTTCCAACAACAAGGACAATCCCCTTGCTTTCCTCCAATCGGCTCCTTCCATCATTTGAGTCTCAGCGTAAAAAGCGCCCTCGAGAGCTTCCCTCACCGCCCGCCCCAACCCGTGACCCTCTCTCGCGATGTCGGCTCTCCGCTTCTTCCCTCCTGGCACCGGTCACAGCGCGCTGGGACCTTGCTTTTCTGTTTGATGTTGTCTTTCTCTTCTAGGAAACCGCGAGCTCTGTGAGGCGAGACCGTGGCTGCCTCGTTTACGCGACCCTGCGACCCCCAGATAGGAACATAATTAAATCTTTGCCGAAGGAACAAGGGAATGAATCAAGGCATGAATGAATGAGCGAGCGAGCGAGCACGCACACTTGGTCTCTCTGAACCTTAATCTGAGTCTTTCCGTCGGGAGCCTGCCGTCGTCTCTGGTGCAGAAGAGGTAAACAGCGGGATGCCGTGAGATGGCGACCACGAAAATTTCGAATTCTATTGCTCTTAACCCGGTTTGAACTCGGTTCCATTAGAGTCTTCCAGATTTAACTATCGGCACCATCTGGCTCCACACTCCAGGGTCTCATTAAGTGAGCGGTAATAATAAAAGTAATTGCCAAAGAGTGGAGAAGATTAAGAAGACAGCAATAAAACAACGTTGCCAGCATAGGACTATCGATCTGCTTGGAGCCTGCCGGTGCCTTCAGAGATCCTGCTATTTCTCAGATTCACTTGCCTACAATAAACAATGGCAACGGGCATGCAGAGCAGGCGCTGATTAGCACTAAAAAGTGATGATCTAAAAATGCCTCTGCAGAGTTCCGTCATGTCTAATAAACCCTAAGATTAAATATAAGCCATCCACTGATATCCAGGCCGTAATGATTTCGTCCATCATTCTTTCTGCTATCTGCGGGAATTGTACAGCATTAACTCCAGCCGTTTTCTGCTATTCCAACAAAAATTCTTTAGTTGAGGTATTAAAAATCATGTGGCACTAAGTGAAGAGCGTTCATAGCTTTTTATATATATGTAGCCCATGGAAATTTATGTAAAATTCATCAGAGGAAGCTTAATAAGCAATCGGGGAAGGCTGAATAAAGATGGGTGGGCATGAATATCATAGACTGAGATTTTTTGTTATCATCTTTATCACCTCTCTTGAATTTGTTTTCTTTCATTTGGTTATCTCTAGAGTAATATTATGTGGGAAAAATCACTAAGTTTAGAGCAAATGTAACCCAGATCTTTATCTGATGAATAAACCACAAATTTTGTGGCTATCATCCAATTTTTTGTGATAACAGGCTTTCTAAACTCCTAAACTCTCCTGTTAAGATATACCTTGACTGCCTGTAGTCACAACCCTTCCATGTCCTGGAAATGTCAATAGTATTGTTACTTTTATTTCCAGGGGGATGACATGTTTATTTGCAAGCAAAGTCGTACAGATCAGAGGTTCTCAAAGTGTGGCACCCAGATCAGCAGCTGCAGCCGGGAACTTACTGAAAATGCAAACTGTCAAACCCATCCCAGACCTACTACATCAGAACCCCTGGGGAGAAGATCCAGCCGCCTGGGTTTTTTGAGTCCTCCAGGTGATTCTGATGCACACTCCAGTGTGACACCCACTGGTCCTCAGCCGAGGGTGAGCTTGCCCTCAAGGACATGTGGCAATGTCCGGAGACATTTTCAGTTGTCAGCAGCCAGGGGAGACGGCGCTACTGAGCATCTAGTGGGTGGAGGCCGGGGATGCTTCTGAACACCTCACAGTGCACAGGACAGTCCCCAACACAAAGAATTATCCCACTCAAAATGCCAGCGGTGCCAAGGGTGAGAAGCCCTAGTTAACGAGGAGAAGCTTCGATCAGCAGCCCTGAGTTTCAGTTACGGCTTCCTATTCGTTTTTATTCTTTCAACTTTGTTTTTGGTGTTTCGTGTCCTATAAAAGATTTGATTTTTGTTTTAAACCCGCTCAACTTGTCTTTGGTCTCTGCTAGTGCCATCTTTAGAAGATCTTCCTCCAGTTTAAAATCATATAAATATTTACCTATGTATTATGATTCCCTTTTACACTTGACTTATTTGATCCATTTGGAATTAATTTTGATAAAAGTCACGAAGTAATGACTTAACAATTTCTTTATTGTATAAAACCCTTTATGCCTAAAATATAGAGTCACTTCTATTTCCTGACCAAGCCATGACTGATAAGAGGATGTGCTTCACCAAAACGAAGGGATTAGCCAAATGAAAAGAAGGGTCGGTTTGAATCGGCTTCATCTTCATGCGACCAAAAATTCAATATCAGTTAAATAAGATAGAAGTTTATTTCTCACATTAAAAAAAAAAAAAAAGCGTCGTGATAAGAGATCCAGGGCTTCTTTGGTGGCCCCCACTATCGGGACATAGACTCTTTCAAGATATCCTTGTTATCATGTCCAAAATGGCTGCTAGAGCTCCAGCCCTCACAGTCTAGTCCATGGAGTTTAATGAAGGAAAGAGCGAAGAAGGAGGAGACTCTTCTCTTTAAGGACACTTTTTGAAAGGTCACATACAAATTACTGCTTACATCTCATTGGCCAAAAGTAAGTTACAAAGCTACCTTACTACAAGGGAGACTAGGAAATGTGACCCATTAGCTGGGAGACTGGAAGTTGGGGTAGTGACTCATAATCTT